CCAACTTGGATAACTTGCACACTTACGTGTGTGCTTGACTGAGAAATTGTGTGGGCCACCATCTGTAGCTTAGCTGCTATTAGGAAGAGAAAAACCTCTTTTTACAACTATTATAATAGCCGGCGGCTGTTAGCAGGGAATCGTGAGTTTCAAGCTGAAAGGCCACTTTAATTCCCCAATTCAAGCCTGTCACAGAGGCTGATTATGTGGGTAGAAATGGCTGCTGCCTTCAGCCCAGCTTTAGCCATCCCTACAGAAAACCCAATTAGAGTTCTTAAATTATCCAGCAGGCTTTACAGCAATGTGCATGCATGCGTGTGTGCGTGCGTGTATGTGTGAGAGTGTGTGTGTTCACTAGGGATATCTGTTAACCATGGCTTTGTTTATTTTGTTCCACTGTGAGTGGTACTTGTGTGCCGAGCCTCCAAGGCACCACTAAACCCTGAATGACTCTCCCAATGAAGTCAAGGTTAGCTTGCAGGTAGTTTCCTGAGAATGGGCAATCAGCTTTCATTTTGCTTTTTCCCTTGGGTGTGTAACCAGCAGTCTTATAAACTACAATGCAGGGTGCAATTTTTTTTTCCATCGTTTTCATTGCAACCAAAGTAAAGTAGAGTTAGGGCAGGTGATTTCATTTTAAAAAGAAAAAGAAAAGTGTATTGAAAAAGGATCTCTGTCCATACTTGAGCACAGCATAGAATTTTCCAATTTTCCTTTTTTTTTTTTTTTTTTTTTTTTTTGGAGAACATGCACCTACAGCATCATTTGAGGCTCAAGCAAGGTGTCAGGGTGAATGGCAGGCAGCCCCAGTGGGATACAGAACGCCGGTTCTCAGGAAAAGGCTACATCCACAGTCTTCAGGGTGGGAAGGCCCTTGAGAGGCAGAGGTAGCCTGTGGTGTGTGATTTGCAGAGCTGTCTCCGGAGGGATGCAGTCAAGTAAGGGATTGAGGGTACCCAGTAGGGATATTGGGGCACTTGTGGATCAGGCTCTCCTTCTGGGGTTTCTCATTTCATTAGTAAAAGAGTTTACAATGGGAACAAACAGAAGCCTTAGTTCCATTTTATCAGAGTTTAAAAGAAAAAAAAAATCTCAGGGCGAGCAAGCTGTAAATGTCACCCACTATCTGGCAGAGGCAGTGGAGGGAGTGGGTGGGGATGGGGTTATACCTTTTAAGTCAGTGTAGAGGTCACACTCTTGGTGAACAACAGCCCCGTGGAAGAGAGGAAGCTATACAGTAGAGTAAGGAGCCCCAAAATGTTGGGCAAAAGTGTGAAGGAAAACACGCCTGGAGAAGAGGGAAAGGAAAGAAGGAAAATTGCGTTTTTCTCAATAACTCAGGGAAGCATGCAGACTTAAAGCTCTATGTGCCTGTGGGCCCTGAGCTTCTACACCCCGGCTGGGGCTGAAAGAAAAGTCCAGCACTGTTGAAGGACTTTTTATTCTGCCATCTCTTTAGCATGGCCCAAGGTAGCTTCATCCCCCAGGGGTGGCCCTTAGCCAGAGGAATTAACCCACTCAACTGGAATGTTAGATCTCCACCAGGCCAGAGGGTCTAGTCTCTTGGCCAGGAGGTTTTTCTGCTATAATATTTATATTTAAATCTAGGTTCTGCCTAAGTGAGAAAGCACGCAATGTGTGTCTTTCAGTTCAGGGCTTGCTTTCTTCATATCTGCTTCCCTGAGCAGAGCAGGACATTGGCTCCTGAAACTGAACTTGTCTAGACCACTTGTTGCCTACCTTCCTCTGGGAACGATGTCTGCATGGAGCCTTTTCTCAGCTCGTGGCCCTGTGGGACACGAGGCCAAGGGTTCTATTGGGGATTTTGTGGTTCTAGAATGTCTTCTAGTTAGTTCTTGATTTCCCACTGTCAGTTGCATCTTCCTTAGAGACACGGCATAATTGCATATTTAATAATTACCCAAGCCTCGGGAGGGTGGCTTTAAACACTCAGCTTTAGTGTTTTTAAATTGCCACCCACAGTCAGGTCAGATGATGGAGTCCTGTTGCTATCTGTGCAGCATCTGAGGCTGAAGATGAGAGAGAGGACACATTGAAATATGTTCTCTTGGTACTGAGAGTTCAGAGAAGCAGAGGTTCAGTCCATGTCATTTGGTCCCATGCACTTGGGCAGGACATCAGAACTGGAATGCGTGTCAGAAGAACCTGGAGAGATGGCTAGGCAGTGGTGAGAGCATGTATGTTTCTTCCAAAATACCCGAGTTCAATTTGTAGCACCCATTTCAGGAAGCTGAGCCACCTATCCTAACTATAGCTCCAGGGGATTCAAAATCTCTAGCCTCCATGGACACCCACAAACATGTTACACACTCGTCCCACAAATACACGTAAGTAAAAATAAATTTGAAAAAAAAAAAGGCAGGAAGCAGATAGAGAAGCAGGCTGGGGAGCTGGTGTAACACTTGAAAGTCCCCCCCAAAATGCCGACTCTCTCCAGTCATTTAGCTCTTCCTGAAGTTTCCACAACTTCTCCTGATAGGCCATCAGCTGGGTTTCATATTGGAAACGATGACAAGTTGACAGTATTTGTAAGCTAAGGATGTATCTAACGCACAGGTCCATGAAGCCTTCGAGATTAGCATCACAACTGTCACGTGTAGCACGTGGGCGGCTTCTCCTAGCAACCACAGAGCTGGTTGGAATGCCAGGCTCCCCGTCACTGCCTGCAGTCACAGGAGAGGATTTTACTGGGCCAGGAAAAGAGCCGATTTAAGAAATGAAACTGTGGTTTCCACTCCATCATAAACTAGACACGCTCTGACTTGTGAACGCCGTGTGTGTTCAACATTTATGAGATCATCTCATATGTCAGCTATTATGTGTCTATGGATGACCTTAATGGAAATGATGCTGAAATTGACATACCTTTGAAATTGTCCTCAGGACAGAGATTACCGCAAATAGTGCTGCTAGAGTAAGTACCGAACACAGTCTTCCCGTGGCACAATGCAGACCGCTCTCCTGAGGAGCCAAGGCCAGTTATGTTGCCTTAAATGAGAAAGCCAATGACCCATGACTACTGCACACTGCTGTCCCAAAGAGAAAGTCTACCATGGTAGTACTTCCCCAAATAAATACAAACTATTGATAGCAATGACATTTGTAATGCTTGCTGTTTGGCAAATGTTCTTGGACACAAAAAGCGTACAGCTCCTTCAGAATACAGTCTCCGTTGGGTGTACCCACTGGGCGTCTTCCCACAGGACCACCAGAGAAATGCCAAGACCCTGAGCATGGAGCAGAACCCAGGAGGTACTCAGACCGCCCCTTAGGTCTAAGCTTGTATCTGCCTCCCACTCTAACACTGTGGCTTCATTTGATACGTTTCCTTGCGGTAGGCTAGTTTACACAAAGACAGAAGGTCTTTGTATTTGCTGCACCAGGTAGGCGTCATGACCCAGAGTGCTTTTCAGTATTTATTAATGGATGTCAAGCTACACCCTTACCTCCAGTGATGGAATAGAAGCTGGTTTACATGCACATTGAGTTTCCACCTCACATGTCTGTGAGCCCCTCGTGTCTTTTCCACGATCTTCAGTGTCCTATTGTCTGTGGGAAGATATCTAGTATCTTACCCATTCCAGCGATGTCTGAGGATCTCACCTGGCCTCTATGGTAATCACCTTTCCATCACTGTGCTGGATTTTCAGAAGTAAGGATCGCAGGAGACAGGGTTGATCTGGCTCACAGTTTTGAAGAATTCAGTCCCTGTTGCCGGGGCCCTGTGTGTGCTTGGACAGAACATTATGTTGGTGAGAATGGGTAGGGAAGGCTGGATAGTTCTGTACATCGTGGTGGATAAGAAGCAGTGTGTGAAGAAGAACCTAGGTGGCTACAGTCATCACAGTCATACACCAGTGGCCAGTCTTCTAGCGAGGCCCCACCTCCCAAATATTCCACCTGCGTTCAAGACAGGAGCCTGTGAGCTTTATCACAGGGGCACCAGGCACCCCTTTCAACAGCTACTTCTGCAGTATATCCATGTGGCTTTGAAAAGGGAGTCAGGATATTCTTATATGCATTGGTGGCTCCAGAGATGGAAAGACAACAGCATGGGTAGGAGCTGTCTGTATTGGGGGGTGGGGGGGGCTCTGAGATTCCAGTAGTTAGAGTTACACCTGATGCGTGGACGGACTAGCTCAAATTACTGATTCGTGGGTGAACTTGCAACAACAGCATGGGAGCAACACACGCTGTCACCCTCGCTAGAATCTTTACTGAAAATATTTAGCTGTCTACGAGAGGATCTCACTGTGGAGTCCTGACTGGACTCAAGCTCGCGAAGCACCAATCACCTCTCTTCTCCATGGCTCTACTAACGACATAAGCCACCACACCGGGTAGAACATAATTATTTCAATGGTAAAGCACAACAAATAGTTATTAGAGCAGTTGTGCAAAGAGTAATTGCTAGCTCCGTGATTCTACAGTCCTATATTTCTAGAAACATAAAATAAAATGAAGGGGGATTTTCTATATTATTTGTACCAAATGATGATGTTAAACAGAAGAGAGCATAGTGAGCATCTGGTAACACAGAGAAGGTTGGTGTGTCTCCTTTATATTCAAAGAGAAGCACCAGATCCTTGTTCACTCAGTATTCCGGACTGGCCTTTTTATCATTGCTTCTCTGGCTTTCTAACTTAGTTTATGCCTGCCACTTCTTGCCAAGGTAGCAAATTCTGTCAGATTTCTTTGTGTGTGTGTGTGTGTGTGTGTGTGTGTGTGTGTGTGTGTGTGTGTGCGCGCGCGCGCGCGCTGTGATTCTATGGATGCATACACTAGGTGCTTACTAAGTGCATGTAGTTATAAGTCTCTACCTACTAATTATCTCTTGACTCACTCAGGATGGTACCTGAAACTTGGAAGAAACACAGTTTTTAGATATTTATATCCTCGGGATCCAGCTGCCCTTGGCTTCCTCCTCTTTGGTGCCCGACAGGAGCTGGGAACTTGATGTCACCTGTTTGTCATTTCAGCTTACGAGTTACAGAACTGCCCGGACCCACCTGCGTTCCAGAATGGATTCATGATCAACTCAGATTACAGCGTGGGTCAGTCCATCTCCTTCGAGTGCTACCCGGGCTACATCTTGCTGGGCCACCCTGTGCTCACCTGCCAGCATGGCACTGACAGAAACTGGAACTACCCTTTCCCGCGATGTGACGGTAGGCTCACCATTTCCCTTGGGGACAGCTGAGCTTCTTGTAGGGAACACAGTACAGGAGCTCTTCTGTGAATATGCATGAGCTCAGTCCGCAGACCATTTCCTTTCTCATGGACACTTCCAATAATAGACTAAGAAACACTTAGTATAAATACATACATAAATACATAGTAGGAAGTTTCGAGAATGTACAGTCTTTCTGCTTAAGGAAGCTGTAAAGATAACAAAGTGTTGGATGCAAACACTGAAAACTCAACTTCAGATCACAGGAACCTGCCAATCATCACAGACCTGACAAAGAAAATGGGAGGCAATGGGGCTCCTTAACCTTTCCAGTGTCTACAGGGGACAGGGATGACAAAGGCTTTAATCCTGGGAAGTCTTTCTTATTAGTTACTTGTCTTGTTGCTATGACGGATTTCCTGACAGGAGCAACCTAAGGAAGGAAGGGTTTATTGTGGCTCCATCACGCTGAGGAAGTCATGGGGGCAGGAAGAAGGGGCAGCTGCTCACAAAGCATCTAGACGGGCACAGAGAGAGGGATGCTGGCATTCAGTTGGCTTCCTCCTCCTCATTTAGTCCAGGATTCCAGCCCACAGGATGGTTGTGCCAACATTTGGGGTAGATCTTTACCTATTCACCTCATCTAGAAAACCCCTCCCAGGTGTGCCCAGAGGGCTGTCTCCATGGTGACATTAAATCTCATCTAGTTGACAGTGAAGATTAGCCGTCCACACTATTGTTTGTTCGACTTTTATAGTCGCTTCGCATCTGTATTGCAGAAAACAGTTCATTATCCTCGGGGACCTTGAATGGTTCACAGTATTTTCTGCTCAGAAACAGAACACTCTAGATGGAGGACACAGTATTAACCAAAGCACACAGAAGGAATTTTTCCAGAAAACTAAAGTCCAACTGGGTGGGTTGTTGCTGGAGTTGCTAGAGTCAGTGCCTGGGCCCTGGGAGTTCTAAGGAGCTAGGTTTAGCTGCCCCTTCTCAATAGATCAACTAAAGAAACAAGTAATGGTAAAAATTTTATCTTTACTGTAGTCACATGGGGATGAGAAATAAAGGAAGAGCAGCCTCCAACATCCAAGTCCGTCCTTGAGGTCCTGACAGGAGACTGAGTTTTAATCAGAAGGGAAGAGGTATCGACAATTAGGAGCCCTTGCCACGGTGTGGTCCTGACCCCCACTGGCCCACCATTGTCTCAGTTCCATCAGAACTGTGAGGCGCTAGCTATTGCTGGGCTTCGGACTTTCCCCCTCCCAGCCTGAGATGCCTGGGAAGCGTCAGTTTCTTGCCCCCACATTATTCCAGTAGTCTGAGAGCCAATGGGAGCAGAACAACCCTGTCTTCAGAGTACCTCCAGCAGCCAGCGAGTGTGGTCCAGGTGCACACATACATACAGTGTTGCCTCAGAGCAGAAATTACACTGCCTCGCTTTACCGTGGCTTCCTGACTTTTCGAATGACTTAGGCATTTCTGCCATGTCAGGCGGAAACAAACTGATGAGGCCTGGCATCTATGAGGCGGTGTCTGCAACAGAGAGCTCACTGCCAAGCCTGGACCCTGCATTACATATGCAGCCACTCTGAATGAATAATAATGAAAGCTCCAACTCTGTGGACCTTTGAAATAAGCACCACTATCTCCTGAGGAAGGGAAGGTACCTGGCTGTGAATTTTTACTGAAGCAGTGGGGGGGGGGGAGTTATGTGGTGTGCTTTTAAAACCTATCTCACCTATATTTGTCATTCTGATAATCTTACGAACTCTTAGCTGTATTTAAAAATTCAAACACTTACTCAATTGTGTATAAAATAGTATTTTTTAATGTGTCTGGATTTTTTGCTTCTCACTAAGATGTGTTAAATAATATTTATGTCTACTTTTCATTTGAAAACTCTTACTTTGGGGTGAGGATGCAGCAGAAGCTCAGCATAAGAAGGCCATATATATTCAACCCCATCTTCACCTAAATAAGCCAAAGGATGAACCAGCAATAGCATCCCCTCAGATTAACAGCTGTCAATTTCTTTGGAATTATGAGGATTTAAATCTTCTCTGATTTCTGGTTTTAACTTGAATGCTTTTAGTTCATATGTAGGAGATCAATTCATTGATTTTTGCATTAATATTAAAGGGAAATTAAATATTCTGTATTTTATTTTATTATTTTTAAGCTTGGTTCTCTAATGTGGGGAACACCGCAGAGTAGAATCAGCAGTGTGTGTTGTTTGCTGTAATTTAAATGTGATGCCATCTTCTGTGGCATTCTCTCTCTATTTTACTCTTGTGGATCTGTGTACATCTGAGTGTTTTATGCATATGTGTGCATGTGCATGTGAGGAAATACACATGGAGGTTAGAGGAAAGAGTTGGTTGTCTTTGCCACTCTCAACTTTAATTTTTCTAACCTTGATTTTGAGACAAGGTCTCTCTCTGGGCCCAGAGCTCGTTGATAAACTAGACTGGCTGGCTGGTCAGTGAGCTTTAGGAATCTCTCTGTCTCTCCTGACACTGGGGGTATAGAGACCACCACATAAGACTCTTCCAAGAATGCTGAGGAGTCTGAGTTTATCAGTGTAGTCTATGACAGGAAAAAGATGTTGAAATTATCTTGTGTGACTCCCCGCAGTTAATGCAAGATAACATATTGACTGCCTGCCTACTTCGGGAAAATCATCCGATTCCAGTGCCAAGCCGTCCTGATGTTGCTATGGCAGAGTCATGCCTGGCAAATGTCTACTTGGACACCTCACAGCTTTATTGCCCTACGTCCCTTGGCTTGTCCTTCTGAACCAGGCTGGCTATGCACAACTCATTCAGAGAGACCACTACATGCGCTTGAGCTGTCTCCCAAAAAGAGGCCTAGCTCTCTGGCCAAACCTTCACTGAACAAGGATGTTCCGCACATCTCCACCTTCTGGCTAAGATCAAGTGCAGCATTATATACTAATTCCTAGCAATAATGTCATAAATTTTAAAATATACTGAAACATACCCATCATACAAAATTATATCATAATGCAAAGGGCTTTCTAAGAAGCTTTCAATATAGGTTTCATATCCTCTCTGTGTTGGATTAAATTTGTAATAATTAGCATACAGTTTTAACGCAAAAGCCACTTTCCCTGTGATATGTTCAAAATAAAACTAGAGTCCTTGTTTCTTTTTTTTCTTAAATATTTATTAAGTACAGTGTTTTGCCTGCATGTATACCTGCAGGCCAGAAGAGGGCACCAGATCTCATTACAGATAGTTGTGAGCCACCATGTGGTTGCTGGGAATTGAACTCAGGACCTCTGGCAGAGCAGCCAGTGCTCTTAACCTCTGAGCCATCTCTCCAGCCCCGAGTCCTTGTTTCTTAAGGCTCGCAGACTGTCATACTGTCATTCAGTCTCTCTGCAAGGCTGCGGGGTTGCCCTGCACAGAAAACAGAGCATCCTGCAAGCCACCCCTCTCCCAGCATGCCCTTGGTAATCCTCAGAATCCATTCCCTTCAGCCAGGCTCCACCTCTGGGCGGGGCAGGAACATTCTCTTTGTGCAGGGCAGGGCAGGCACTTTGAGCTCTGTCCTCAGAGGTCCAATTCTGTGGGGCTCAGAAAACTTCAAGAAAAATACAGGGACTTGGAGCAATTCCTGTGTATCTGCATTAAAAAACTCTCCAGTTCAGAGAGTCCTACTGAATAATGCTAGATGTTAATACAGCCGCATTCACCAATATATTAAATCAATTCATATTAATATGCTGAAAGTATTTATAGGTTAAGTTGTATAAGAATCTGCCAAATAAAATTAGTGTGTTTTTAGTTTATCTGAGTATAAACTGTGATCTAAAACATAACCTACTTAAAGCAAATTTCATGAAAAATATGTCTTAATAAGAAACTGAAGGCATTTCTGTCCCATGTCTCATTACTGTTTGTGGGTCTTTCTACACGTGTGGACACGTGCTATGGAAGTTGTCTGAGGACAACCTTGTGGAGTTGGTTCTCTCAATCCAGCTTTACCTGCCTGGGGGATTGAACCCAGGGTGTCGGGATTGCTTTAGTGCCTTCACCTGTTAAGCCGTCTTGCTTGTTTTCTTCCCTGCCTCTCTTCCTCTCTTGTGTCCTCGCCTGCCTCCCTTCCTTCCTTTCTTTCTTTCTTTCTTTCTTTCTTTCTTTCTTTCTTTCTTTCTTTCCTTCCTTCCTTCCTTCCTTCCTTCCTTCTTTCTTTCTTTCTTTCCTTCCTTCTTTCCTTCTTTCTTTCTTTCTTTCTTTCTTTCTTTCTTTCTTCCTTTCTTTCTTTCCCAATGTAATTCAGGTTGCCCTCAAACTCCATGTCTTCTCCTGCCTCTGCCTCTTCAATACTGGGATTTTAGGCACTCACACCACTCCAGCTTAAAGTATGATTGCTGTGGGGGGTTGTTTGTTTATCTGTTTGTTGTCTATAGAATAATTGCATAGAAATCAGTTTTAAAATGGTTACAGTTGTCAATATATGCTTTAAAACTACAATTTATTCAATTACATGTAACTTAATACTAAAGGTACATTTGTAGTTGCAAATGTAGTTTAATTTGCCAGTATCTTAAAAATTATTTTATAATAATTACATCTTACTAATTACATCTTAGTGCTGTGCCTGCATATATCTGTGTACCACCTATGCATACAGTGGGAAATGACCCTACATATTGAGGGGTCATAGTATATTATCAGGATCAAATAAGAAAGCAAAAGTATACAAAGGAAATTGGGTCATATGTAAACTTGAAGTAACAGCCACAGACGTGTAAGTAAGCTGGTATAGCCAGTCCCTGCAGTATGTGCGGCGCTGTTTATCTATTGATGTTGTCCTTATTTTCCCCTGAGAAGAGAGATCTCTCAGCACAGCAGAGGCTAGTGGAGGGAGATTGTCAGGGACATGGAGGGGTGCAGCTTCTACCTTCCATATCTAACAGAATGATAGGGGAGCTCCTGGGTCCACATCATAGATGAGCCAACAAGATCCACTGAGAAGACTCTAAGGAGGCAGTGGCAAGGAAAAGCCAAGTCTGCTTAGATATCTGGACAGGATAACAGCACAGTCCATCCATGTAGAACAGAGCTCAGTACCAACGTCTGGAGGGGGAGGGACCCCCATCCTCAGGGACAGTAAGTGGATGCTGAGGGCTATGTGGTGTGAGGCCATTTATAAATTCCAGGTCTCAGCTGGCTCTCGCCCTCACTGACTGGTAGTCAAAATGTGCCTATGAAGGACATTTGCTCTGCTGTGTTTGAAATTATGGCTTGTCTGACTCCGAAACCCACTGGATCATTCCACCATTGTCTCTCTAGAAAACTCTGCATGGCTCTCTCTCTTCTCCAGTTGGTTTATCCATGGCTTGAACTGCTTCAGTCTCTTTAATCTTTAATTGAAACCAACATGGTACATGGTGTCTCAGGACTTTGAGTCTGCCATCATCTTGAGATAAACCTCTCTCTCTCTCTCTCTCTCTCTTTCTCTCTCTCTCTCGTACGTTTTTGTGACAAAAGTTTAATAATCATGGAAAATATGGAAAATTCTTAATGGTGACCAAATTTCTTGGCTTCCGTGTGACTTCAAAGTTGGTGTGTGCTTGTCACTGCTGTAATCATTTGAATGATTGGCTTTGGTCAACTTAGCACAAACCTAGACATATCTGGGGAAGACAGAATCTTAATGGACAAAATGCCCACATCAGATTGGTCTTTAGACAAGTCTACAGGAGTAGTGTCTTAATCAGTGCTTGATGTGGGAGGGCCTAGTTCACTGTGGGTGGTGTTGTTCCTCAAAAGGTATCCTGAATTCTATATAGACACTAATTTGAGGAAGCCTTGGGAAGCAATCCCATAAACAGCATCCCTCCGTAGTCAGCTTCAGTTCCTGCCTTGAGTTCCTGCCCTGGCTCTTCATCATGGTGCACTGTAAACTGGATGCTCACACAAAACCCTTCCTCTCCAAGTTGCTTTTAGTCATAGTCTTGATCAAGGCCACAGAGAGCAAGCACGCGCATTTCAGACTCTTGTGTTATGCAGTCACCTCACTTTTCCAGAAGTGAAATAATTGCCAAAGCAACAACAGCCATCAGCTTTAAGGACAGTTAAAATAGATCAGGGGGTGCATCTCCACAGAACCAAACACTATTCGATTTGACCATGTTTTTATAAAGTGTACTTAAGAAAGTTTATCTTGCTTTCTCCAGTACAGATCTGCAAAGAATTGATAATGTCTTTGTTTTGAGGCAAATAGGCTTAACTGACACTCTTTTAAAAGGGGCCTTAAATAGGCTTGAGCAAAGTAACGAAAACAAAACCACTTAGCTCCCTATTTACGTCTGATTTCCACATAAGCCATTGTACTGGACAGCCCAATGGATTATCAGCTCAGCCACAGGCAGTGACTGGCAGGATTTCTTTAATCGTGTGGGGATGACTATCCTCGGGGATGTTGAAGACTTGGAGAATATATTAAGTGAGACAGAGATAACTTGCAAGTATAACTGTCCTGAAGTTTCCAAATTTTAGAGAAATAAGCTTGACAAAGAAGTAAGGGAAATCTTTCAGTTATTTCTTACAAAGGGTAATTTGGGCTTTAGACACCAGAATCATTGCCTGCTAGTGAGAATCAACCATCTTAGTTTCTTGTCAATGTCTCCCTTTTCAGCTCCCTGTGGGTATAATGTGACATCACAGAATGGTACCATTTATTCCCCTGGGTTTCCGGATGAGTACCCGATTCTGAAGGACTGCCTATGGCTGATCACTGTCCCTGCAGGGCACGGAGTGTACATCAACTTCACCTTGCTGCAGACCGAAGCCGTGAATGACTACATCGCTGTCTGGTATGATTCCTCCCAGGGAATGGAGGTCCCTGCTGTGGGTAGGCGGTCCTGGATTAGCGTTTGCCTCGAATTTGTTGGATTACCTGTTTATACATGATCTGCCTGGGCAGATCTTCAAGATGGAATTCACCAACAAAAGCAAGCTATGCAGAGGGAATTTCAAGACATATATCTAATTTGCTATAAGATAGAAATAACCAGATTAACTATAGGGCAACATTCATGATTAGTTTATTTCACATTTTGCTTTCAATAAATTATTGATGATTTTTTCTTTGATATAAGATTTTACTCTGAAACCTATGCTAACCTTAAATTTGTTGAGGCCTTTTTGCCTCAGCCTCTGGAGTGTAGGTGTATACCACCACACCTGCCTTAATCCACAGTTTGAAGGGATATATGTATTGTGTATATGTATTGCATATATATGTGTGTTTTCATCTCTATATATATGTATGTATGCATACATACACACATGCATGTATATATTTAAAGCAAAGCTATCATGTGTTTTCCCTTAATGAATACATGAAAGAACACTAAAGAAGTGTTTCCTTATGGTATTCCCCACCCCAGATAGTACAGGCCTGGTTTCCTATGAGCCTTGCAGAGGAACTTGGGCCAGGATATGATGAACAGGAACCTGCTAGGTAGGACCTGGAGAAATGGCAAGCTACATGTTAGAGATCTAAGGCACAATTTAAAGGGGAGGCTGAAATGAGTATTCTCCCCCATACTATGTTGGGAGAGCCAGAAGGTACCCCTAGGTCACCAGGATGGTAGCACTGTCGAAAACACAGGTGACCTGCACATGTGCATGTGTGCTGTATGTTATGTGATGTGTATAAATCTGTATGTGTGTATCTCTGCATGTGTGGACTATCTGTATGTGTCTATATGTGTGTTTGTGTACAATTGTGTTATATGTCCATGTTTGTGTGTGTCTGGTTATAAATGAATACTTATTGTATGCATATATCTGTGTATGTCTGCTTGTGTATTTATATGAATGTATAGTTCTCACATGTGTATATGTATCTATATGTGAATGTATCACTGTTTTGTGTGTATATATGCATATATAAATATATAGTGTTTGTTTGTGAATGCATGTGTCTGCCTATGTGTGATATATGGGGAGAACATCCTGTGGCTGAATTACTGCACAAGGAGAAAGGGAGAATAGCCTGGACCAGAAGGAACAGATGCACCAGGGTCTTAACATTTTATGTAAATGTTAAGAAAGTGTAGGGAGACTACGTACAGGATTTAAACAGGGCTGTCGCTGGGGATGATGCAGCTGCAGCGCCCAGGGGAAGCTACCTTCTCAGGCTACAATGATGGTTTTGAAGGGAGGTTCTGAGAAGCTGAGCTAGAGACTGTGACAATGAGACGGAACTTTGCTGTTCAGCAAGGCAGTGGAGCAGCATCCCCACCAACAGTAGGTCCGTGTAGATCCTGCTGCACAGACTCCCAGTCTTAACAACTCGTGTGGGTCCATTGCCCACAGCCAGAATGCAAAGGAAGAAGAAATGCAGGGTGGTGAATCTCCTGAACACAAAGTGTCCTACTACTAAAGGCAGAGCCAGGGGGATATCTTGTTGCATTTTTTTAGTATTTTAATTTAGTTGTAAAACTATTTTATAAATATTAGACATAAGGAAGTGGCCACCGTGTGCACTTAAAATGTTGTTGTTGGTCACCAACAGTGGGCACTGGACTTTCCAGGCCATCCCTGTCCTCTCTCCCTGACCATATTGGGGAGCTGGCTGCACAGTCTCAGCTGTAACATTAAACTTCTTCCTCTGGTACCCTAATCTCTTTCCCAGGGATGGTCCTGACCAGAATTCGCCTCAGCTCGGAGTCTTCAGTGGAAACACCGCCCTTGAGACAGCATACAGCTCCACCAACCAGGTCCTGCTCAAATTCCACAGTGATTTCTCCAATGGAGGCTTCTTTGTCCTCAACTTTCATGGTCAGTTCATTTCTGCTTCAGTGGCCAGGACATAGAGTGCCAGGACAGCTCCTGGCCATGCCCACACACATTCCCTCCAGCTGTCTCAGAGCCTGCTGGATTGTCCCACGTGGATGCCAGAGTGTCCTGGAAACCTTTGGTGGTAGACAGAGTACCTCTGTTGTCAGTTCGTTTTAACAGGTCATGTTGGTAGCTACTTGAGGTACATTCGTTCCGATATAACTATAAATGAGACCATGTTGTAGGGACTAATTATGATGCTCTTGACTTTTGTGCAGGCCTGCATGTATCTGACTCTAAGGAAATGTCATAGAAACCATTATATAATGACCTATAGAGCAACACCAACCTCATGATGTCCCTGAGAGCAGTAGGGAGTGGTCACCAAGCCCCTGTCTCCCATGACCCTAAGACATTCGGAGACAAGAGGAGACAAGCTTACTAGCCTAGCCAGCTGTGATGGGATCACTTCCATGGTGACTTCCAGAAGCAGGAGAGTAGGTGCTATTCTAATGGACGTTTTCAAAGTGTGGGCTTCAGTGTTGTTAAGCATTTAACAGTCAAAGTGAGCCTTTGGAGAGAGCAAGCATATAGTCTTGTAACTTGATCATTCAGCAAAGGTAACCACCGCTGTTATCTCTTTCACAAACCCATGGTAGCATTCCAGCTGAAGCGATGCCCACCTCCCCCAGCAGTGCCACAGGCTGACCTGCTAACAGAAGATGAGGACTTTGACATAGGTAATTCCATCTCTACTTTCCTTCCTTTCATACCGTGGGATCTGGCTTCTCATAGTTCTTCTGATTGAGACTTGAGGCAAATTGGTTACCATGAGGGAAAATGGCCCATAACACTGTAGAGCCTTCCACAGAGACCGGACCAAATGACTTAGTTTATGTTTTGCTCTTGTCATTTGAAGGCTTTTGCTCTGTGGCATTTGCTACTAATTTTCTTTTAAGTTTTCTGAGTCTGTCTTAGACTGTATTTGACTGTAAATAATGAAAAGTCATAGTAGGATATACTTAATGATAATTATAATAAATTTTTCATTCAGAAGCTTCTATTTAAATATGTTACAGCTGCTTTGATTTCAGTCATGGTCTCGTCCATTCATCATCTGGTCCTCTTAGGAACCCAGCCACAGCATATGGTGGCAGTGTGGTTATTAGAACGCAGGGTTTCTCAGATTTAATTACAAATTCGTATTCCTGTGGTCACATGCCGGTGACATCACATTGTCCAATTCCTTCTCTTGTTATGGTGGCTATGCTAACTGGAACCATGGTGTCTCCCTGGACAGGACCATGGGCAAGCCCTGTGGGGTTTGTTGAAGCCGTTCCCACAGTCTACTCCACAGCCTTGCTTAGGTCCCAACAATCTATGGCGCTTTCATTCTTCTAAGGAGGCATTTGGAAAATGGGACACATGGTTGTGTTGGCCAAGGAAGGGGACCACTAGATATGGCCTCTTTTTAGTAATACTAAGTTTTGTAAACTAAAAGCTGAAATCTGGGCTTTTCAGTGACACACAGAAAGTGAAAGTAGACGCCCTTTCTGAAGTGGTTTGCTGTGGACACAGTCCATTAAGCAGTCACAAATGATTGGCACAGTCACATCCGTCAAACGTTCTGGGAATGGTGATCCCAGGTTGATTCTTTCAGGGGACTTCGTGAAGTACCAGTGCCACCCTGGGTACACGCTGTCTGGGAGCGACACGCTGACATGCAAACTTAGTTCACAGCTCCAGTTCCAAGGCTCTCCGCCCACCTGTGAAGGTATGTCCGGTCCTGCTGCTTTGGTTGTTCTGATAGACTCTGGAGATGGGTTTGAATTTGACCCAGGTCTGTGCTGAGTCAATTCCACAGTATAAACAAGTTGCCAACAGAAGTGTTGGATAACTCTTTGACTTTGAGTCCACCCTCAAAAATAAACCTAAGCCATAGTTTCTGCAACCAGTGCATCATGGGAATGTTCAAATACAACAAGATTGAAATATTAAATATTAAATAAAAAAATAAATATTAAAGAGCAGCTGATATCTGTTCCTGATATTATAGCCTGTCACCTCATCTCTGTAATCTGCCTCATGTTTTGCATCCATCTCAAGCACACTGAGCATCCTGGGATTTTCCTGTCAGTACTTTCTCTGGATTTAGGTATCCGGTGTTTAACCCTTTGTATATAAAATGTATAAACAATGAAATATATCCACTTTAGGTTTTATATATGCCTCTAAAATAAACTGACTATATACTGGGACTTATACAATTCGCAATAAAAGAAAAGGGTTCTAGGCTGCACCTGTTGGTTCACTTAAGAAAAGTAATTTAGTAGGGACTGCTTTCAAGTGCAGTGGGAAGAAACAGCCTTAGCGAGTCCACGTAGGTCAGACGTGGCATCTCGGTTCACTGCCAGTGTTTTCAGTGTAATTTAATCAATCACAGTGAGTTCGAATTTTGGGTCCCTCATGGTGGAAGGAGAGCTTAGCTCTTAGCTTTGTCCATGAGCCTTTGTCCATGTGAATGTACTAGTACATGTACCTCTCTCTCTCTCCTTCCATCTTCTATCCCTCCCTCGCTCTTTGTCTCTAGCACACATCTCAAAGCACACAAAGGAAAATACGTTTAAAATTTAGAAACATGCGTCTGTGGTCCTTTAATCCCAGTACCCAGGAGAAGTAGGCTGATCTCTGTGGGTGTAAGCCTGGGTCTACATAAAGGAACTCTGTCTCAAAGGCAAAACCAAACAAAAAGAAACAGAACTGGGCAGTGTTCACTGAAGGGAACCCAAGTTTGGTTTGGGATGAGCTTCCTCTGGAGGCAGCAGCAGGAGGGCAATTAGGTGATTGCTGTATTCTTTCCACGTGGCCACACACCAAGCCCTGTAGGTTTCAGTGATCGAGTCCCCCATTTTCTTAGGGTCTTACAGTTTCCACAGTTCTCTCATCGTATATGCGTTTTGTTGTTATTGTTTTTTGTTTTCTTAATATTTGTTTTCTGAGAATTTCATACTTGACTACCATATTTACACCATTTCCAGTCATCCCTTCCCATTCCAACTCCTTCCATCTCTCCCCCAACTCCTTCTGTCCCTCCCCCAGCTCCTTCTTACACTCATTCTCTAGTATGTTCTTTTTATTATTTAAATTTACTCATTTATTTAATTACTATTCTTTCTGAGATGGTGTCTCATATGTAGTCCTGGGTACCTGAAAGTTGCTATTTGGGCCAGGCTGGCCCCAAGTGCACTAGGACCTTCCTCTGCAGCCTATACACAGAGTACTGGGGTTAAAAGTGTGCACTCCCATGCCTGGCAGAAGTTAATATGTTTTATTTGTTGTTTTTCTGAGGGTCTCTCTATGTCACCCTGGCTATCCTGGAACTTTTATGTGCACCAGACTCCTAGAATGCACAGAGATCTGCCTTCCTCTGCCTCCAGAGCATTGGCGTTAAAGGTGTGCACCACCACACCCAGCTAAGGGGTTAACGATAATAAATCCTAGTTCAAGCTTTTAACTCTGAGTTATTTTTGCTGATGTCTTGCAAGTTGTGTTAAACAATGCTCTCCGTGTTTTAAGCTAGAAAGAAAGGAAGGAAGAAAGGAAGAAGAGACAGAGACAGAGAGAGGCAGAGAGAGGAAAGGAAGGAAGGAAGGAAGGAAGAAAGGAAGGAAGGAAGGAAGGAAGGAGAGAGAGAGAGAGAGAGAGAGAGAGAGAGAGAGAGAGAGAAAGAAAGAAAGAAAGAAAGAAAGAAAGAAAGAAAGAAAGAAAGAAAGAAAGAAAAGTGCTCCTGAATATGCCATGTGCAGGTGTCTCTGATGGCCCTTCCCTGTAAGCAGACATTTTCTCAAATGTCTTTTGAGGTACAAAGGGCTTTAACAGTATCGTTGCTGATGGAGCAACGAGAAACTCAGCTTCAGGGAAGAGCTGGAACCTTGATGCTAGCTGAGTTGCTCCTGGCACCAGTTTATAGCAGCTCCATGAAATTCCCAGGAAACAGCAGAGCAGACAGGAGAAAACAGAGACATTTGGGCCCGTTGAGAAATATATTCAAATGTGTGTCTTAGAATAATATTTGGGCCTGGGAATAATAGCGTTAAGTGTGGCAAGAAACTTGATAAAATGGCTTTACTTATATTTTCAGTTTGACTTATCTACTAAGCCAAAGAGAACAATTTTAAGAATAGACGGGGTAAGAATGAGTCTGCTTAGGGCTGCTTCTGATTTGGATAGCTGCTCTGTGCCCTAGCCCTGGAGGTAACGATGGCTTTCCAGGTGGCTTTCCAGAACTCATTGCAAAGTTTCTTAGTTCCAGATGGCCTGAAGTTCGGTGTCATTTAAAACTCTAGCTACAGTGGTAGGATAGACAAGGTGGAAGCCAGACTGAATATTTCCCCAGTGAAGCACAGAGAACGGGCTCTGCTTGGTAGCACCTGCCTGTTGAGGAAAGGAGGGTGTGTAGCCAGGACATTTTCAGTTTCCATACTCCCTCTGCCCATATGGCGCCTTCTATTTAAGAAAGACATTTACATCTGCCACATCTCACTTAACCCTGAGGGGTAGCTGTTACAACCCTCTATTTTTAGCAGAAACAGAAAAAAAAAGTTGTTGGCTCTCATTGCAACATGGAATCAGGCCCGTGAAATCCCTGGGACTGTGGTCTCAAGCCCGCACAGGTGTGCACAGACAACAAAACCCAGTCTATGAACTGCATTCTATTTAAAAAATATCAGCGTGACCAACCTGCAATGGGCAAAGTAGATTTTACAAAGTGATCCTGTCACTGAATGAATGGGTCTGCATCTTAGTGAGCACAAAGACAAAATATTCAACAGAAGATAAAACAGTAGAGAGATTCATTGCCTATAGGAAGGGAGGGACAGGAGGGATATTTCCAAAGCAAAGGTCTCTCCCGAGGACAGAATCAATAGGGGATTTTATTGTGGGAACCTATATGTACTCCTGTAGGAAAGCCTGTGGATTTGGGCACATTCCTGTGCATACTTAGCACAGACATACATTTTGGAGCATGCGCAGTTTGAGGTTATAGTCCAAGAAGAAAGATCGAAGGTGCATAACTGAGCAAGCACACATAGCGTCATAAAGCATGTGTTCAAATTAGCAAGAGGACACAGCTCTGCTAGGCATGCTGGGTCCCATGTCATAATGAGCAAGTTTTCTCTAAGTTGCACAGAAGAATAAACCTGAGCTCTCGCTCACTGGTCTGAACCAGTTCTATTTTCCCCAGCCTCAGCTAAAACAAAAAGACAGGACTCAGATGATATGTCAGTGCAAGAGTCTCTTCTTTTTATTTTTTTTTTCTTTTCTGTTGTTGTGAGAATAATAAAAAAAAAAAAAGACCAAAAGCAGCTGCGGGAAGAAAACTTATTTTGACTTATGGTTCCAGAAGAATAAGTGTCCATCTTGGCAGGGAAGCATGACTGCAGGAATAGGAGGCTGAGAGATCACATCTTTGTGACAAACTCAAATCAACAAAAGGAACCAAAGGAAGCAGGGCATGACGGTATACTCCCAAATCCTATCCACAGTGATCTACTCCCTCAAGCGCATTGTACCTCCTCAGCCTCCAGAGACAGCATGCCCACTGTGGACCAAATGTTCATATGCCTGAACCCCTGGGAACATTTTTCATTGAAAGCACCTCTCACCTGCAAGGCACCAGCCCCGTGTGGTGGCTGACAATGTCCTGTGGAAAGCAGGACGTTTGACTGAGCTCCATCTGTGACTTCTGTCTGGAATTGTTCTCAGTGATATATATCACTGTAACTAGTTTATACTGTGACATTTTAGGACTTAGACCTGTAATACGTTTTAAAGGATTCTGTGATAGATTAATTGCTTATATTTTTGTCTAAAAGTCCTCTGAGCTTTAAGGTACATTTCTGTTAGATTCTCCAACTGAACGGGTTACCTTCAAAGACGATGCTTAGAGTGTCACATCTTATAAGCTTTTCCCACCTGTGTTTAAGAAGTGTCTTTATTTTGAAATGTATGTATAGGTAACACACAGCCAACTTACTAAAATGGGGAAAACCCACCAAATGAGATGCCTCTCTTTGAAAAATGCTCATTGTCTTTGGGAAGATCCCGTTACTGTTTGCTTAAACTCTATGAGTAATTCTGGCACACTGCTTTTCATGTGCTATGGTGTTCAGGGTTCTGTAAAAATGTGTTTCTGTAATATAAATTAATTCAGCAATGAGAGATAGCACTAAAAAAACTCTTTTGGTGATTTTTACATTAAAAATTAATTAGCTTGGAAGCAATTGGATCAAAATATAAATATGAGAAGGAAAAGTGTCATCAAACTTGCAGTATCTTAAGTGTTTCAGTAAAAGAAATTTTACTTTTGAAACCGTGGGTCCTGCTAAAATTGAAGTAAACAATTCAGTGTGGGTTTTGACAGTGTTTCTCTGATTCATTTCATGCCTAAATGGTCACATCCAAAAATTAGATTTTATTTATCTAAGTATAACACGGGCCAGAGTAGAAGTGGAATTTTTCCAATAAAGAACCACATTTTGTTATATTGCATTGAAGATGAACTATCTGTCTTTATTTTTGCATTGAGATAGCTTGAGTTGCTGTGATGAAGTTCAGGAGGCTTCATGGGTGCTCCAGGCGCAGTGGCCAGTGTTGTGGAGACTCGCTGGAAAGCACACCCTGCACATCCTGACCCTACCTCTCTCCGAGGGGTCTTTGTCCTGTATTAAATGTAGTCAGAGCTCAACAAACTGCCTTCTCCTCTCATGGGATCTAGTGTAGAAAGGCACACTCCATTCCATCAATGCCAGATTCATTGTATTAATGCGGACCTCTGTCTCTATTCTCTTTAGCACAATGCCCAGCCAATGAAGTACGAACGGAATCTTCTGGGGTGATCCTCAGCCCGGGGTATCCAGGCAACTATTTTAACTCCCAGACGTGCGCTTGGAGTATTAAAGTGGAGCCAGACTTTAACATTACTCTCTTTGTGGACACATTCCAAAGTGAAAAGCAATTTGATGCCCTCGAAGTATTTGATGGTAAGCCTCTTCAATGTGCTTGTCTCAATCAATGCCCTGAGCATCGTTAATGAAAGCACCTTCGTGATGTCTCAATGCCCAGATGGGTCAGGTTTGTCTAATTACATCTTTCCACAGCCACCATAGCACCAACCAATCATGATAGAACTTGAGCGTTTTCAGGTATCAGGTGACCTTTAAATATTCTTGTGTTGTTTATGTTACAGTTTTCCTCCAGGTAATTGTGTGTGTGTGTGTGCATGTGTGTGTGTGTGTGTCTGTGTGTGTGAGAGAGAGAAAGATGAGTTTGCAAGGTACTGCAATTAAGAGTTCAAGAAGAGGTTTATTGTTCCAAATGCCTAGTTTTCTAGAAATACATGAAAAGAATGGCTCACATAGGCACTGAGGTGGTAAAGAGAATTGTTTTATGTAGTGCAGTCAAGTGAGTTTGACTCCCAGTGATGCCGCTTTCAACACCAGTGTTGCAGTTTTATACAGCTCTCATGAGCACCTTAAGATAGTCGTGTAGGTAGCTGGATCATCAGCTGAGATAGAACCAAGGACAGTGTTTCAGAAGCTTCATCATTTACAAACAGAGTAGAGCTCAACCCAAGACCACAGGGCTTTCTCATACTCCCACGGATTTGCCATTGGGTTCAGATTAACCATAATCTATTCAATGATAAAAATTACTTTAATTGATTCTGTATGTTTCCCTGAGTCTCACTCATTTGGTGGATCATGGGAAGTAAATCACTTGTGTGGATCGACCCACAGGAGTCAAGTTCTGCAGATGTCTGCATTGGAAATGAAACTCTCAGAGTTTTACCTAGAAACAGTATGCAAAGAAAACACATACAAAGGAAAAGAGTGCCACGCAGGCAGTTGTCTCTGTGTGTGCACACAAGTACAAGTGTATATTGCTATTTGAATCATAAGTAAGTTCCGATATGGGATTGTGTGTCTCCTCTGTTTTACTTGAATTGGAATATAGAGCATAATATTTTTATGCTTCTGAACTTCAGGAGCAAAATCCTTCTCAATAGTTTTTCACTAATTGCATGTAGTCTGGTATTGTCTCAGTATGATCAGACTGTGACTAAGATCAAAAGCTAGAGAGTAAGTACATCCCATGTTCCTCTTTTTGGGTCTGGCTTACCTCAGGACATTGAGCCTATAATTCGGGTTCTTAGAGAAGCTAAATAAGAAGGAGAACCCAAAGAAAAACATATAGGAATCCTCCTGAATATTAACCTTCATCAGGCGATGAAAGAAGACAGAGACAGAGACCCACATTGGAGCACCAGACTGAAATCTCAAGGTCCAAATCAGGAGCAAAAGGAGAGAGAAAAAGAGCAAGGAAATCAGGACCGCGAGGGGTGCACCCACACACTGAGACAATGGAGATGAACTATCGGGAACTCACCAAGGCCAGCTGACCTGGGTCTGAAAAAGCCTGGGTTAAAACCGGTCTCACTGAACATAGCGGACATTGAGGACTACTGAGACCCCAAGAACAATGGCAATGGGTTTTTGATCCTACTGCACCTATTGGTTTTGTGGGAGCCTAGGCAGTTTGGATGCTCACCTTACTAGACCTGGATGGAGGTGGGTGGTCCTTGGACTTCCCACAGGGCAGGGAACCCTGATTGCTCTTTGGGCTGATGAGGGAGGGGGACTTGATTGGGGGAGGGGGAAGGAAAGGGGAGGCGGCGGTGGGGAAGAGACAGAAATCTTTAATTAATTAATAAAGAAATAAATAAATTTAAAAAAAGATCAAACTATGCAACAAATTAAAAAAAAAAAGCTAGAGAGTAGACCTGAAAGATGACAACAGTTTCTGCTGAGTTAACAGAGGCTCATGACCTGCTTTGCTCTGACTTCAAATATTTTTCTCTAAAGTGAAAGGTCAGAGTTTTGTATGGAGAACTGCTGTAAGTGATAGCATTTTCTCTGCACTGCACAGTGTGCCCATCTTATTTCAGCGACACGGGTGCTATTTTATACTTTGTGAGCTGAGCAGAAGTCGGCTGAGCATACCGGCTGTGAGCACTGTTTGCTCAGAGTACATTATTCTCTGTGATTCAAGTGTTGCTTTTCCACAATTGCTTAATCATCACAGAACTCAGAGAAGAATGGTGTCTGAATTACAGTCATGGTTGGCTGCTGAGCCCACAGCACTGGCTATCCGTATCGTGGGAAATGGACCTGCACATCTCCTTTCTAGGCTATTTTTGACACATGCTAGCTAGAGGCATGCTTTCCAAGACAGGCCTAAGCACTATGATTTAGACAGAGAGCAGATGGAGAACAGGTAGGGGTTTGGTGGGAGATTAGCAGCTCTTAGAGATACACTCTTGCATTCTGCCAGTAAAAATGACATTTAAAGTATGGCAAGCTCAGGGTAATTAATTTCCCAGTGGCATTTGGTTTCAGAAGGTACATGATCTTGTTTAAGAGCCATGAGCAGATCTGACACAGTTCATACCTCTGCCATCTTCCATATAAAGTGGGGTCATCCTCTGTAGGGAGTAGGCAGGACACTTTGCAGACAGTCTTTGGAGATCATCTTTCATAACAAGAGTCATTTCTGGGGACCCTCCACACCAACCTCCACACCTGTTTATACTTCTTTTTCCTGGGCTCTTGCAATTGCTTTAACCAAGTCCCTATGACAGGGAATGCTTTCTCAGAACCGGAGAATGGGAGTCAGGGATCCAAGTGTGGTGAAGCTCGTGTCTCTGAACCTCCCCTTGGCGACAGATGTGTCTTCTTCCTGTGGTCATCATGTGGTCGCTCTCTGTGCGTCTGTGTCCCAATCTTTTGTTTTTATAGTGCAACACTCAGGCTGGAGTCGGGGCCCATCCCTGCAAAAGTGTTTCAACTTAGCTCTCTCTATATAGAGCACATATCCAGGGGCAGTCACTTTCTGAGTTATTAATGCACATTTGTTCAGAGTCCAACAGAGATTTGCACAATTTTATTTGGGGGAAAAGTTACTAGAAGTGGTTTGGGTGTAAGAGGAAGTGAAGCTGTGAATTATCAGTATTTTTCCACGAATAGAAATTGCATGTGTGATTCAAAGGTGGGTGACACTCGCCCTGATAATGTTTAGATTACAAATAGCCACAGGAGGCTCATTCTCCAATTCTCTTCCACATTTCCCAAGAGTGAGCTTGTGAAATGCAGAAAAGCCAGTAATGTTTTTAAGTCCAGGCACTGTTGTTGTGTCCACTAATATAAAAGGGAGCTGAACATAACTCCTGTTTCTATACTGTGATTTTTTTTCTCCCAAGTGATGTGAGGATGCAGTCAGAAGAAGTTACACTGGACATTTGATAACTTTGATGTAATACTTTCAAATATACAGAATAAAATGATATGTCAATGATGACTTGTAGCTTATTTTCACACTTACTGGGCAAGGCACAGTGAGTCTTTTAGATTCTTCACTGATGCTCACATCCCCTTCTAGTTCTACTGTGGAGACTAGTATCCCAAAGGGAGAGTCAAGTGGGTCATTGTTGTGAATGTTTCTATAATTAATTCCTCATCTCTCTACTCTGTCCATCCATCCATCTATTTGTCTGTCTGTCTATTCATTCATCTACCCATCCATCAATCCTTCTACTCACCCATTAACCCACCCACCCATCCACCCACCCTGCTGTCTATCATCTCTCTGCACATACACTTCTTATATTGAGCACATATGAATTTTTTAAATCACTTTGATACTCATCTATAAATGGGTACTTTTTAGACATCTGTATATATGCTACACTTAGATTTATCTATATGGATATACATATATTTACTTTATTGATTTGGGGTACTATATAAATTTAATTTCTCCTTATGATATTTCTAGAACATAAAGGTTTTGCTCCAGAGTTTATCATGAGCAATAATATTAGGATATACATTTTTGCTATATAAATAACTTTTGTACCTATGTGCTAGAGTTGATGGAATTGAAGCTTCAGTTTTACTATATATCACCAAGTTGTTCCCCAAAGTGATTGGCTTAGCTTATACTCCACTGACATCTCAAGAAAGCTTCTGGTTTTCTAAATCTAAGGTATATTATAAGTTGATAAGTGATAAAATAATGTTTACATTTTCAAATGCTGTGGTTTCACTGATGTATTTGATTTTTTTCCAGACTATGTCATTAGTAACTTACATGTATAACTCCCTGTATTTGCTGTTATTCTCATTTGAATTTTATTGTTCACCTTGGAAATAAATACCTATAAATTGTACTTATGGACACATATAAATGTGGACACATGTTTAATCAACAGCTATGATGAATGATGTGTATTTTGTAGGCACTGACATCTAAAGGTTTTATTTTTCTGTTTTATTTAGGTTCTTCTGGACAAAGTCCTCTGTTAGTAGTCTTAAGTGGGAACCACACTGAACAATCCAATTTTACCAGCAGAAGTAACCATCTATACCTCCGCTGGTCTACGGACCATGCAACCAGCAAGAAAGGCTTCAAGATTCGCTATGCAGGTAAATAGTAGGGCCTGGACACCAACTGAAAGGGCTTCTAGTACCACTTCATTAACAATAGGTTTAGTTCTGGTGTAGATCTGACCACTGACAGTTAATGACCAGCAAGAGGAAGAACATAATGGGGAATTACTCTGAGTGAGTTCCTAACTCAGATGAGCAAACTTGAATAATATTTTAAAATATCTTGATGAGAGAGTAAATATTAAAATTTTATCCCATAGATGACAAAGATATTGCCCTCAAATTACAGTAATATAGTCAAAATTAGCATTAACATTGGGAACAAATGAGAGAAGATTAAATTACATAAAAGGCACAAACAGTAATTGGCCATTGTCCCTAGCATGCTACTTTATACTACATTCTGTATATTTCTTTATCTTTACAGAATACATGCACCTTACATACCAGTCTGTATTTTGTATGAACATTTACATTGTAAGTCTACATTTGGCATACACATCTGTGTACTTCCATATCAAAATTTGAGGTATTTTATCCTTTCTCCATATTCTTTAATATTTGTTTGAAGTTGTTCTCTGTATTAAATTGATGAAATCTTCAAGCACATTTATGAAATGTTAAAACCCATTCACCGGCTGGAGAGATGGCTGAGCGGTTAAGAGCATTGCCTGCTCTTCCAAAGGTCCTGAGTTCAATTCTCAGCAACCACATGGTGGCTCACAACCATCTGTAATGAGGTCTGGCGCCCTCTTCTGGCCTGCAGACATATATACAGAGAGAATATTGTATACATAATAAATAAATATTTTTTTAAAAAAAATTCACCATCTTCAATAGCGTTTCTGTTACCCTCTGGGAGCACAGGGGTGTTAATTCCTGGCGATTTATGTTTAGTTATGGAGCACAGCCTCTAAGCTTGTCTCAGTTGGCAGTAAGTGGACTAGTCTTGGAAATAAGTCTTCCTTGGAAAGACATATCATCCAGCATATTAGTTGCAGGGTCTTTTGAAGGGCTTTTAATCCCATTGGTGATTTGTGTTTTCTGGGTGGAGTTCAGCCTTGTGTAAATGAACCACATTTTCCTTATCTATTCTTCAGTTGACAGGCATCTAGGTTGTTTCCACATTCTGGCTATTACAAATACTGCAAAAAAAAAAAAAAAAAAAAAAAAAAAAAAAAAACCCTCAAGCTAGTTTCACAGAGAGCATCTGAGTAGGGATTGGATTAGCACCCTTGTTGTAAGGAATGGATCAGACTTTCAGCCTGTTTGAGTTTATTCAATGTGCAGAAGTGATTGGTACAGAGGAAGTCATAGTTAACAGAATATAACCCATGCCATATGCAGTGAGTTCTTTAGCTCACTGGCATGGAACACCTTGACTAACCTCTACCTTCCAAGGCATATTTCCACCCATGCAGTAACAGACCCTCTGTATCCAGCCACATTAGGTGGGAAGCCTGATGAAATAATATGTTTTTCTTATAGAGATGTAAATACATTGTCATGTATTAATATGAAGTTTTATGTCTATATCATAGCACAGTTCATCAGGCCGCTAATCAAAACTTCATGTTCTTAATTGCAAAAAAAATGCCCAATGCCTCTTTTCTTTGACTTAATCACCTCTTTCTTAAAATGTAGAGAATGTTTTTGTTGCAGATGTAGTGCCCTAAGCCATGCCCCATCACTTCTCACCCTTGTCTTTATGAAAGGCAGCCTCAGGGTACCTCTTGGGGAGCTCACTATAAAAATCTGTGTCTTCCTGGCCATGCTGAAGTCAGCATCCTACCTAGTGTTAAATCATAGCACCAGGTTCCCAAGGTTCATAAGAAAACCCTGTGGGGCTTTTAGAGTCTTATTTCTAGAGATGGTGTTTGCTGCTCACTTCCCAGCTTTTAAACACTAATGATGTTTTGTTTGTGGTATGCCTTTGTCCCATATTGTAAACTGCTTCCATCTGTTCCCGCGTCCCAGCTCCTTACTGCAGTCTCACCTCTACGCTGAAGAATGGTGGCATTTTAAATAAAACTACAGGGACATTGGGGAGCAAGGTCCATTACTTCTGCAAGCCTGGATATCGAATGATTGGCCACAGCAATGCAACCTGCAGGCGGAACCCCGTGGGTGTGTACCAGTGGGACTCGATCGCACCGCTTTGCCAGGGTAAGAGATGGCTTCCCACCCCACCTGGGTTGTCGTTCCTTGTTCTGATTTGAGTTGTTCTCCAGCAACAAAAGAGACTGGGCATGAGAGCTGATAGGGAACAGAATCTAGGTGTCGTCATTGCTTTGCTCATGGATGTGGAAAATAAGGGACAAAGAGCACCCTAGAAGAGGAAAACTTATTTGTTCATTGTTCAAGGGTACCGCAGGATGGTTTGCTGTTTCTGGGCTGTGATTGCTAGAGGTCAGGCTGCCTGCTCACTTCCCTGGACAAAGATGCCGAGTGAAGCCAAGACTGCTGCTCAGCTACCTTTGACCTTTCTCCCCTTTTGTTTAGCCTGGGCTTCCAAATCACATGAGGGGGCCACTCAGATGCAGAGTGGGTCTTCCTCCCTAAGTGCTCTTGCCCAGACACCCAGTGTGTGCGTGTGTCTTCCTGGGATTGTAAATGCGGTCAGATTGATAGCTGAGACCTGCCGCCACAGTAGGCTTATGACAGCACAGTTAAGCTTCCCGTTGATAAAGCAAACATCACTAACATTTGCAGAAGGTTCCCGTGAATCTGCACTGCCCGAATCCAGAAAATGAACAGTAGTCCCTGGGCTGTAGCTACAGTTATTCTGATTATAATGTGCACTTTATCTTGAATTTTAAAAAAAAAAAGAGGCATTTTCCCATGAACTTTCCAAAAAGCTTTTCCTGATCATTGTATTATTTCAGAATATATCCTACTCCCCTCAAAAAAAAAAAAAACTTGCTTCCTCATTTTACTTACTATGAATGCTTTTTCTTTGAACTACAGTGTTTGTTTCTTACATTCTTTGGCTATTTTAATCTAGGGCTTATAAATGTTGATTTCAATATTCCATAATGTTTTTTTAATTTTACCTATAATATGCATAGAAACTAAGTTTTTATGTAAAACATTTAATTTAGATGCAAGGGTTTGAGGCAGCAACATTTTCATTGTTTTGCCTTATAAGGTTTGTATTTAGAATAAAGTGGCTCAGCCCCTGAACATCAGTCATAAAATGTGAATGGCTCTGGAAACCAGCGGCCTCCTTTCCTCTGACTCGGGCTGTTCGATTTTCTATAACGGCTGTATGGAGGAGTAAGCGATGTGCATCGTGTCTGTATGGCTTGAGCCACATCACCATTATCAGAGCCTCACCTCGGTTTATGCTTTCACATCTAGAAATTGTTCTTTAATATAAGATAAACATTAAGTAGCTCCCAGGAGCTCGTCCTACTAGGAGGGATAAAGGTTTATTTTCCTTTCATTGACAAGGAAAAATAACACTTTGCTTTGTGACTTAGGGCATGAGGTGGCACTGAGGCCACTCACCTGGGCACCTCTCCACGCCACAAATTTAAACATGTGTGACTTTTAAAACATGTATTTGAAATCACATAATTCCCCCAAGAATTTATCTAGTACAGGGATCTTTCGCTGTTTTCGTTGGCTTTGCTTCGCTCCTGGTCTCAGTGACTCCAGTATGTTGGGAGGAATGTTACTCAGATCAGAAGTCATAGAGACATGGGGAAGTCTAGGTTCCTTGATGTCAAGGGAATGCTAATGACCTTGTTATTCCTTTGCGGCTCTGTATAATGACAGTATTGATAGCTGGCTTTAGAATTACTGAAAGGCTTAAGCAAGGAGGTACACTATACCTTCCAGTATGATGTGACGTCATTGGGGCTGGAAGGGGATTCCCAGGGCACTTGCTCCAGGCTCACTCATACCCTAGGGTCCTGTGTGGCAGGGCTGGTAACCTCATTGTCTGTCATGGCTTGTCTTTAGCCAGTGGCACACACTGTTTCCATCCTGAAGGTCTGGGCCAGCCAGAAGCGCCAGGCCAGATGTAGTCTGTGGGTTTCTGAGGAGTGAGGGTTGTTTTTCTCTCTTAGCTTGACCTTTTAAATGATTTCTCTCAGCAAAGCTGTCTTGGTTGCTTATCCTCCCCGATAAAGCCAGGCATATCTCCTGTCCTGCAGCCTTCATTTCCTGCCTCAGAGCAAGGAACTCTGCCAAGCTGCTGTTTCATTATCAATACACTGATCTTCATCTTGAGGAGCCGAGATTTCCTGCGCTGTCGTGGAGATGCTGTTAAATGGGAGCGCTGCAGAGCAGGCTTTCTTTCGAGCCGCCCCTGTTAACCAGCACAGTGCCCACACAGCTGTTTATTTGAAAGCTGTTGCTCAGAGCCTTGTGGGAGCTGGCGCTTTGGTATGGGGGTCGCCTCCGTTTCTTGTCTACATGCACTCTGTTAGCGTTTCCGTGGGCAACAAAGTAGGAAAGTGATCTTAGCCGTAAACTGCACAATTAAGCTTTTGTTCTTAAAATCAAGCTCTTAAGACATAGACCAGTGTTGTCTGTTGTCAGATCTTCGTTTATTCAAAGACAGACCTGAAGAACAGACTGTCTCTGATTGGAGTGATTCCTCTAGTCGGTAGAATGATAGAGAGTTTGGCCGTGAGAGTTCACTAGTGTCCTTGAGCAGTTAGTGACATCATGGCTTTAATAAGTCAAGGTATAATTTTCAGTTCTAATTTGTTTAACAATTATTTTTGAAATGCCCACTGAAATCAAACAGACGCAAAGTCTTTATGTCTCAGTGAACTTCTATAGAGTTATAATTAGCTCATAATATCTGAAAGGCAGTGGAGGAAGCCAAGGACCTGGGCTGGTGAGAGGTATGTTTCCTGAGGTTCCTCTTATGCTGCTCATTAACTCCGTGGCTATGAGTACCTGCAGATGATGCTATCCAAGGAGACTTAACTGTGAACATCTGAGAATCAGTTACCTCCACGACCTCTGTCTCCCGTACACCTCCTGATTTCAGAGCTAGCATCTTCCCAAAGGTCTAGGATCTTCACCTTTAAAAAGTTAACAGCAAAGCATCCTTTTAGAGCTAGGGAATTATAATTGAAACCCTGGAGTATTAATTAATTGATGTATTTATTAAGTCATAACTTTTTTACTTATAAACATAAATCACGTGGGTTAATTGTGACCCTTGACTTCATTTTCATATGCAAATTTACATCTGTAAAATTCTTCTGTCCTGAGAGTAACTGCAGACTAGTTCCAGCTAATGAGTTGATATCTGCCAACCTCTGGCGTGGTCGAGGTGGTCAAGCTGAGGCCACACGCCAAAGCACAGTTTTCTCACTCACATCCGATCTCAGGCATTTCTCCAAGGGAGCATCATCTATCTCCCTGTATCCTGTGACAAACTGAACAAGGTGTTTCCCCTGTCCATGCTTAGTGCAGACGGGATACCACGAAATATGGCTCGTGATTAAGGTAATAGTGAGGGTGTATGCACAAAGTCCTTTCCCATAATGCAGTTGGACGAAGCGTGCCAAGGAAGGTTTTCTCACAGAAGGTGATGAGTCCCCCAGGTTGAGACTGGCCACAGAGACCAGCCGTGTCCCTTGAATGAAAGAAAATTCCACGATGTATCAGCAGCGCTTGCCCTGGAAGTGTAAGCGTGTTCTATAGTGTGTATAAAATAGTGTAAAAACGGGTGATAGTACCTGGTGTTTGTCTTCCTTTCTTCAGCATAGGGAAGGTGGGGAGTGGTATGGGCAGCAAGGACAGACGAGGATCACAGAACCTTTGTTCTAGTATGCAGGGTTTGATAAGGATGCCTTTGAATTCATTAAAAGACCAGGAGCAGAGACAGTCAAAAGCCTGAGTAAACGGGAAACAGAATAACTGATGGTTTTTGTTAAAGGGACAGTGCGGCCTTTACCTGCAAAACTGACAGTTCACAAACGCCAGGCCTTCTAGAAGAAAGTGCTGGACTGGGATGTGAGTGGGTGACAGCCCCACAGGTGACTGAGGGACAAACCCTGTTGGGCACCTAGGAATGCGTATGGGGTGCTCGTGGAACTGGCTTTGGAAGAGTCTTGAAGGGTGGGAAGTTGAAACAGTCAAGCCAAGCAGGCCGTCCAGTGTTTGCAGAGAACTGGATGTGATAGAGGATCAGGACAAGACGTGGTGCTTTGGGGCTGAATCAGCCTGAAATCAAGCCATGGTGTTGTTTTCCCCATATAATCAATATAGCGTTCCAGGTATGCCTATCCTCGGGGCCCACAGGATGCTGGGATTAGGTTTAGCCCTACATATCTTGATCCAACTATGCTTCAAAAGAAGATATGTGGTCTGGAACCTTAGCAAGATAAATAGATGAAGGCCACCTGTTTATTTGTATTTTACATAGTATAATATATTTTAATAGCAAGCTCACAGAAACAGTATAGGAGACAAACAAAAACAGAAATGTGTGGAAATTAACTTACTTTTTGAAAAAAAAATCCAAATGCTGGCCTTGTCCAGAAAAAAACCTCACAGGTTCATTTATAATCGCTATAAAGTTGAGCGGCTGAGACATGCTCACCGAGACATTTAGACTTCTGTTAATGCTTACATCCCACACATATATTAAAAAATCACATGTGAAAATGTAAAATCTGCCAACACCTGATTCTTGGCCCTGCTTTTCCACTCAAAGTCATAGACTTTGTTAGCTTTTGACCTCACGGGGGAAATAGCTAACTTCCAGAATAACAGGAGTTAGAGGGGAAAAAAAATGAACTTTTTGAGAAAGAAATGTTTCATCTCCATGGATTCTCAGGCACGTTTTACATATGCAGTGAGCTAGCTAGGCACTTTCTGGCATGATGTTACACATCTGACTTGGCTGGCTCTCAGGTGGGTCCTGTTTAGCAGCCCTCTGAATCTGTTTCGAAGGCCTGAGCAATTTTTTCACATCAGATGTGGGAACAGGAGTCTCGAAGCAGAAGGTCAGGGATTCTGTTAGTGTCTGATTTCATTAGTCAGGCTATCCCATGGAGGTTTCTGCACCCCTCCAGCGGAAGGGACCCTTTGGGGAGTGGCTTTGCTAGCCAGTTGTTTGAGTGCTTTTCGAGGTGTGGATTTGCAGGCCGTCTGCTTGTCGGAGCTACAGTATCGGTCTCTTTACCTCCTTTTCT